ACAATCAGTGTCCAGCCTTCCTAGACTGACCCGAGTAACAACCTTAGTGGTCTGCCATCCTATACAGACTCCCACTGCCAGTCATAGTGAACAGCTTTCCTACACGGATCCCGACCAGCGCTCATAGTGTTCAGCCTTCCTATACGTACCCCGGCCGGCAGTTATTGTGTACAAGCTTCCCATACAGACCTCGGCCACTGCTCGTGGTGCTTACCCTCTTCCTTCTTCCACGGAACCCCAAGTAAAACTACTGGTTGCGGCAACTTTAAGACCCATGTCAGCACCGAGCTAGGGGACTGTCCGAACGGCCTACAGCTACTTAGCAACATGCCTCACGGAAACGGCCAGTGTATAGTCAGCTGACCGTAAGTTGCAGATATACACAAACACACGTATGCGCATACAAACAGACAAATATGAACATACAACTATTTTTCACATGCATAACCGAGACACTACACAACGCCAAGCGTCCCCTACCGCGGCCGAATCCGCCGCCTAGGCCTCGCCAGGCCTCAGCCTTCCCAGGCCCGAATGACGGAGCACTCGGCCTACTGATTGCTGGGCAAGATCGCAGAATCACTAAAATGTCAAAAGACGCCCCGTAACGAAGATAAAATACGACAAACTGGCATTAAACGGCGCACTCCGCGACCCACAGCCCGGCATTCGCCTCTCCCGTATCGAACCTGCTAACCTGCTAAGTAGCGGACTAGCCGATTAGCTGGACAAGCTGACTAAGCAACCAGTCGAACCCAGGCGTCCGGAATATCAGCGATGTTACGCGCTTGTCCTTGCTGGTACACGACTTCCGGACCGGCTAGCCGGCGCATGGAGCCCGTAGAAAGGGGCGACTTTCACGGCCGCCATCGTGACAGGAACCGCGGCCGTAGTGCCGTAACGACACGGACGCGGAGCGATCACCCACCTTCATGTCGGGACATCCTACAGACGCGAACACAGCCCCTCCTCGGGCTCTTTAATACGGATCGGAGAAGAAGTGTCCGCCTTTCAGAGCTAAAGCCAGGGCTTGCTCCTAAACGCCTATTTTCTCATGAAGCTGGATGTGCGGCTTCAGGTTCTCCGCTTCCCCTTCGCCGTCTGTCACAGGCGCTGCGCTGGCGGACGGCTGGCGGACTGCACCGCTAGGTGGCGTAGCTCCTAACATGCTCACACAAGGCCGCAACAGACGAAGTAGGGAGACTCTTCGCCCAGTTCGGGGATGCGGAAGTTTGGATATTGCCCGCTGCTGCCCCCAGCGGAAGAGCTGCCTGTGCTGTATGGCATGCAAACTGGTTAAGAGGACGTGCGGTAACTGTAATTAAACACGGAACAACTGCATCGTATAAAGTAATCGCACGGTGACTTGAATTGTAAATGTAATAGCCACATTGTACGAACATTCAGTATGTAATAGTTGTAACAATGATTGCTTGCAGTCTGTCCTGTGGCATACTGGTGAGAGTTAGAGCCTGTCCTGTTAATGTACAATAATAACTCTATGTCAATACGATTTTTAACCGCATATATTTGGACTACTTTATTAAATATAAGAGAATTTTGCTCGCTTAATGTTCTATATTAACACTTAAAACCAAAACGTACTATTCCCTTCAAGTAAGAATTACTGAACATTTTGTAGTATTACATAATTGTGCCCTCCACAATTATTGGCACCCCTTGTAAATTTTTTTTTAAAAGGATTAGAAAAAATCTACCTTTTGGTGAAGTAGCTTCACGTCACACTGAAAATATGAGAAAAATCTAGCCTTTCACTAACAAATTTAATCAGATAAAAACCAGTCTGTTATCAAGAAATAATTATTTAAAAAAAAAAAAAAAAAACGTATGTGACACAATTATTGCCACCCCTGGAAATTATAGTGGACACAATGTAACTGAAGCATGTTTTTTTATGTAAATTGTACATCTTTGAGTTTATTGGAGTGTGTAGGAATGTTTAAGCTGTAATCCATGACATCCTGATTAACTGGGGTACAAACATGAGGTGTCACAGAGGCCAAATTTTCTTAGTCATCCATCAACATGGGATAGATAAGAAAACACAAACCAAATGAGGCAGAAGTGTGTTTACCTTCATAAGTCTGGGAATGGGTATTAAAAAATAGCTACTTGCCTGAAAATGCCCATTTATACTGTTTGGGCAATAATAATAAAGTGGCCATCAACTGGAACAGTTACAAACCTGCCTGGAAGAGGACCCAAGTTTATTTTGCCCCCACATTCAGTTTTGTTTTGCAAGAGATGCAAAAAATCCCCAAGGATCACTGTTGGTGGATTACAAAACAAAGTAAAATCTTGGGGTTAACATGTCTCCAATACCATTCGACCCCACCTTCATGCTAACAGATTATTTGGAAGCCATGCCAGAAAGCAGCCTAGTTTTGTCAGTTAACTACAAATGTAAATACCTGGAGTTTACTAGACACTTTCTTTTTTACTGGAACCATGTTATATGGTCTGATGAAACAGGTGTAAAAGGAAGGACGGCTATAATGAAAATAACCTTATCCCAACTGTAAAATATGGTGGAGGTGGAGGTTCCACGATGTTGTGGGGCTGTTTCTCCTCCAGAGGCTCTGGAAACCTTATTAGGGCACCTGGCATTATGGAGTCCATGAAATACCAAAATTTGGCTGCCTCTGCCAGCAAACTAAAACTGGGCCATCATTGGATCTTCCAGCAAGACAATAATCCTAAACACAGCATAGAAATGATTAGCTGACCACAATATCAAGCTTCTGCCATGGTCATCTCATTCCCCTGACCTGAACCCCATTATAAACTTATGCCTGAGCTGAAGAGCAGAGGGCACAATAGAGGGCCGAGGACCCTGGATGATCTAGAGAGATTCTGTACAGAGGAATGGACTCAGAAGCCCTGCTCTGTATTCTCCAACCTTATAAAATGTTATAGGAGAAGACTCAGTGGTGTTATACTGGCAAAGGGAGGTTGTACAAAGTATTAAATGCTGGGGTGCCAATAATCATGGTACAGTACATGTGTTTTTGTTGAAAATAATTATTTCTTGAAGGTTTGTTTTTCTTTGATTAGATTTATGTGACTGAATGATTTTTTTCAGTGTGACATGAAACTACTTCACCAAAAAGTTGGATGTTTTCTAACCCTTTTTACAAATCTTTACAAAGGGTGCCAATAATTGTGGAGGGCGCTGTATATGCAAACAAGCGCACCCACAACACAAAAATCATTTATCATGCATTATATCTAAACTCTCATGGATCAATAAGACTCAGCAAATTTCAGCAAATTCAGCAATTTTGCATACATTAAATAATCATGTATACTGTTTTGGGGAAAACGTCTTCTGTATAAAAAAAATTCAAAACTACTGAACAAAGTATTTCGATACAAATTACATTATATAATTTTGTGAAGTCAAATACAAAATACTATTTTTGTATATATAATACATATATTAATCATATGTATCAGAAATACTGTCCATCCTTGAGTACTACATCAGAGTCTTTTTGTAACGATCATTTATCAAAGCCACCACTGATATCTCATCACTTGCATGTTAGTCAAAGTTTAGAAGTATGGAACTTGGTTTATGATGACACTAATTTAGTTGCTATTAAGTGTATAGAAAATATGGGATTGAAGACCCACATACACAAACAGTTAATGTGTTAATTGTGGATTGAGAGTACATGACAGTGTACAGGGATATTATCTTTGTGCACGAGTTACACATACTTAAGATTTTTACTCATGTAGTTGCTGCATGTTACTTACAGAGCAGAATTTCAGTATTGACAAGTGTGTAAGTCTACTCAAAGTCAGGTCAGGTCAAGTTAAGGAGCGTGCAGTGGTGCAGTCTGTTACCACACCCACCATCCAAGGAAACACCTCGGGATCCCAGTTGGCAACCCCCCAGAAATGGCCATCTAGGAGATACGAGACCTCCTAGGGGCTACTTGTGTTCCCTGTCAGTGCCTGAAAGGAGACATCAGTGGGGCATTGATGGCAGGTACTATTCACCCTACTGCTGAAGGGGGTTTCTTTCTTGTGGAGAAGAAGGATGGGTTGCTTCATCCCTGTATTGATTATAGGGACCTCAGCAAGATCACCATGAAGAACCAGTATCTGGTACCTCTGTTGACATCAGTCCTCTACCTGCTTCAGGGAGCAAGGATTTTTACCAAGTTAGATCTATGGGAAGCCGACCACTTGGTCTGGATCTGTGAGAGGACAAGGGGAAGGCTGTCCAGGACTGGACCCAACCCCGGACCCAACCCTGGACCCTGAAGGAGCGACAACGTTTCCTGGGGTTCGCAAACTTTTATCGGCCCTTTTCAGTCCTGTCACCGCCACGCATATTTCATTGTAGCTATTCTTGACTTTTTGAATTCTTGATTTTGTTTTTAATCACAGGTGTTTGAAATCTAGGTCAGTAGTCACTTACAGCAAGTTGTTAAACTTCAAGTTAATAAGTTAATTTGAAGTTAATAGATTGATTGCCATTTTATTATCAAGTAATGAGAACAACCTGCTGTAATTAGCAAGGAGCCATCAGACCTTCTGCATGATCCTGGGCCTGGACACAATTACAACATGCTGTATCCTATATGTGCATAAAATACAAAATAGGCCAAATGAATGCATAATCCTGAATAATCTGCATAGACTTTCTCATAGACTTTAATTCATTGGCTAAAGACTTACTTCTCAGGTAAATGGTTTTAATGAGAAATTCCCGGGTAGCCTGGGGCTTTGGCACTGTAGCGCAGCCTACATCTGCTGTCAGTGAAGCCAAATCAAATTGCTATCTGACCTAATTAGCCTACAAACTCTCATTATAACCCTAAGTCTTTGGAAAGCTGTAAGTTCCATGGAAATAGGTAATATCACCCGTGTACCTAATTATGTCTGCGTGCCTCATATCTGAACAAAAAGAGGTCTGATTTAGTTTTTACAAGCATCATTATCAGTGATAATGTGCCCCCTGGTGGTCATGACCCTAAATTAAATGAAAATGGTAACAAAAAAGGTCATGTTGTTTTCCAAAGCCAGACATCATTACAATGGTCTGTATCCTTAACCAACAGTGAGTGAGTACCGCTGCTGTAGCTCTGCCCCCCCCCACACACACACACACATTAATGATAGAAAACTAAAGTTTAATGAATTATGTTAAAGCTACAATGTCCACTAATGTGTTTATCAAAAAGGCAGTAGTGTAGCAAATGGAGGCAATTTTATATTGATGAAAAGAATTTAATAATCATTTAAATTAATAATTTAAGTCACAAAACTGCAATCCAAAGATTTTATTTTTAGTGGCTACACAAAAAAGGACAAAGAAATAAGAGGATACTTAGCAAGAAGAATTTGAAACTGAGTTAAGAATTTGAAACTGATGTCTGAGATCACAAGTTGTTAACATGTTGTCTGTGTGTTGTCTGAACTCAGACCTGTCTGTGTGTTGTCTGAACCCGGACCTGTCTGTGTGTTGTCTGAACCCGGACCTGTCTGTGTGTTGTCTGAACTCAGACCTGTCTGTGTGTTGTCTGAACCTGGACCTGTCTGTGTGTTGTCTGAACCTGGACCTGTCTGTGTGTTGTCTGAACTCGGACCTGTCTGTGTGTTGTCTGAACCTGGACCTGTCTGTGTGTTGTCTGAACTCGGACCTGTCTGTGTGTTGTCTGAACCCGGACCTGTCTGTGTATTGTCTGAACTCGGACCTGTCTGTGTGTTGTCTGAACTCGGACCTGTCTGTGTGTTGTATACATTAAAATTAATGCACTAACTTGTTGACAACACATTAACAACACGTAGACAATATGTTGTTAATGCATTGTCAAGGGGTTAAAAAAATCACATATTTTTGATCTGCTTGGCTTTCTATAACAACCTTTCGCATTCTGAAAATGATGCCACGGTCCCAGAGGGCACAGAATGTTTTTGATGCAACAGACACACGTACAAAGTGCACATAAATGTATTGTTGCAAGTGTGTGAGTCATTTTAATAGGATATTGTAAAGAAAAAGTAGTAAAGATGCCCCAGTGTTCTTGGTTGATCATCTGAATACAGACACTGTTAGTAATGATCATGGGGAAGCCAGGGAGAGAACGGGGTTCCAGTCTGCAACACTAGGGTGCAGTTTACAGTGGCCAGAGAAGGCCAGTGACCATTTGCTCCTTTGGGAAGTCCTGCCCTGCCCT